GTTTATTACAAGCTGTTCACATCATCATCAGTGGTCAGTTAATCTCAATTTAGAATCTCATTAGACCTGCTCATCTCTGCCATCCTGTACTTCTCACCTCCCTCTCACTGTGTCTCCTCTGTATTTGCTTACACATACCATGGTAGACATCCTCTTCTGAGCTAGGTGGGCTAGCCAAAAAATGCTGCTGTTCCTGTTTCTTAATGCAATCCACTACCTTGTCTACTACAGTATTACGACTGTGTGTCCCATAATCACTTTGAATCAAAGTCATGCAGATGAGGTTACCTTTACAATCTGCTTCAAGTGCACACTATTTCACTTACTTTGTAACAAATTATAACTGTGCAATGGAAATGAGATGCTTTTATTAAATTAAGCACTTTAGCATCACCATTGACCTTGATACTACAAAAAGATTTTGTATCACATCCACCTCATTCACTTCTTCCCTGATCTGTTTCAGAGGCAGGCTTTTATAACTTTTGTTCACAATTTGAGGATTCAGATCAGGCTATTCTCTAAGACTCCTAGAATTCTCACCTATATACTAAGCACTTGGGGCCTTATTATCTTTTAAATATCTGGATAATTAATATCTGGATAACACCCAAGAAGGAAGGTTTCAGTGTTGCTACATGTCTGTCTGTTTTTCCCTGATACATGTGCACTACCAGATCCTGTGGAAGAAGCAAGAGACGGCAGCCTTTCAGAGACCAAATGGACGTGCTCAGCTGGGAACCACATCGATTGGGCAAACGACAACTGAAGGACACACACAGGGAACTTCCTGCCTGGGAATGGATGGAGAACAGAGCCTGGTGGGGCGTCAGGGCTGATGGCGAGGTGCACTTAGGGACCTAGAAAAGTTTGTGGAAAGCCTTGCAATGCAGGAGGACACTTCAAGACTGCATGGTAAGGCAAAAGGAGAAGGCCCACCCTGTGAAAGTCTCAGTGGGCAAGATGGAAAATAAAAGTCTCATATTTTAACATGATTTCTTTATTTTAAAAGCTGTTTTGCTCCATATTTTTTTCGTGATAGGTCTGAAAGAGCAAAGTTAATGCATCCTTCAAGTCAGAGTGCTGAAATACTGAGGAGAGATTTCTTTCAAGCTCTTATTTTCCACTTACTTCTTCAACAGTCAAAAATATTTCTGAGTGGATTGGTTCCTCTTTGTTTTTCTTGCACTGCCCTTGTGTTGTGCCTTCTTTTCCCTTGCCTTCCTGAACAGTATTTCTCCCTGCCAGGCCTGTCACTTTCAGTGTTTGAGCTTATCAGCATCTGTTCCACATACTCAGTACACTCTTATTAGCAATAGAACTTCTTCTCTTTGACACGCTACCTAAATACTTGCTTGACTAAGATTAAGGAACACAAACTTCCTTTTTTTACTTTGTGTTTCCTACAGCAATTTCCAGTAAATCAAATTATGCTTTTCACAGTTTTATGGAGTTCTTTGTATGTAGCCATGTCAGAATTCAAACCAGTGCTCTGTAAATCAATTTCCAGAGTGCACAATTTTAAAGAGAAATGAGACCAGCTGTTGCCTTTTACTTTCAATACTCTTTTTTTTTTTTTTTTTTTTTGTCTGGCATCTTTCTTGTGTATCTGAGGGATGTGAGGCTAAGGCAACTTTTGGGGTATGTTTAAATGCAATATTTAAGCTGGGATGCCCCATGGTGAAACACAGTGCCATTATCACTGGGGATTGCCAAGTGGATGACTTGGAGACATTATTACTGACTAAGAAAAGTGACACATAAGAACAGCAGTTATCTTCGGGTGTTTTCAAGTGATGGAGATCGAGCCCAGAAGAAAATGTTAGGAAATCTTATATACGGTACAACAACAATGAGATAATTTTTGGATGCTATTAGGTAGGATTAGAAGTAGAGTGCCTAAATGAGGAGCTTTCTTTCACATATTTGAGCTAACACTTTGTACGTTCAGAACACTATCTTGCATACTTTACAGCTACTGACTCCCTGTTCAAAGAAAGCCTAGACTGAAAAATAGAATTAATTTTTTGGCTCTAGACAAAAACTTTCAAAATGTGAGATGTGACTGATCTCTTTATTGAGTGTTTTGTACTGCCTTTCAAGCAGGAAAGTATTTGGAAAATCTTAACTACAAAGCTTATCTGACCCAGTCTCTTGAGATCCTTCTTCAGTCCAGTTTTTGTTCATGGTATCACCAAGCATAAGTGTGGGTAATCAAAGCTTTCTCACACTCTATATTCTCATATAGTGAAAATAGAGAAACTTGGGACTTAAGTTCACCCCGGTCCAAAGGAGGAAGCCTAGGTATCGTGTGATGAAATACAGAAACACATGAACACATTAAGAAAGAATGTCAAGGGAGCTTATTCAGCATGTTTTGAACCATCCTTATATGGTTTGTAAGGATGGTTTTGAACCATCCTTATAGCTTGTATGAAAGCCAAATGCTCAAAAGACAACAAAATACTAAATTATGGTACACCAGGTTCTTAGCTCATCCAGTATGGAGTTTTCAGGACTTACTGGCATATCTTTCCTTTTCTTTTCACCAAAACACAGTCCTACATTGTATGCAGCAGCAGTAACTTATTACACAACATAGTTTTGCCAGGTTCATTAGGACCTGAACTTTGTAAAGAAGAGCACGTACTTATTTGTGCAATTCAAAAACACTGCTTTTAATACTCCACAGATAGCCATCTCCTTTCCTGTATCAGAAAGCCAGATAATGATATTTCTTCCTTTTTCCACAGCATGTTCTAGCAATTTTTATCTAAATTTTTATCTGAACCTGAGACTAAAACACTTAAACATAACATCATGGAAAATATTATAGACCATCCAAATGAAAACACAAGCCATGGATTCTTTACTATCCATGCAAGCATCACTGTAGAGATATTATTATTCTTCCTACCTTTAGAAATGGGTAGTACTGTTTATGTGTAGATAGAAGATTTTTCCCTGGTAAATGGTAGGAAAAATGATAGATGCTGCAATAGATTTTTTGTTGCTGTAATTTGCTAGAATAAAACTGCTAGACTTTGTTACAGTAAGGTCACAGGGTATAATCTAGCCAGGTGGCTCAAAAGGAGATAGCTCTCCTACTATAACCTCAACAACTAGTTCTCCACCAAAACAATTTACAACAAGATTTAAAAAAAAAAAGTTAGTTGTGATAATCTCTGCTGAGTACTTCAGGCCTCTCCCTCCTGTAATTCCCCTTTTTAATTCAATATGACATGTCTACACCCTGTGGGTTTCTTTCGTCAGAGATAAATTGTGACTAGTCAGTCTTCCTTTAAATTCACTGCAGGTTGTGGCGGTTCAAAATATGGAGGTGTACAACTGCATGATGAAAAAATTAAAAAAAAATTAAAAAAAAAATTAAATCTGACCATGTAATGGTCAAACTTCACATCAACTAGCCAATTGCAATTTTGCGAGCATTTTCTGATTTATCCCCTTTATTCTGAGCAGCAGATTGATGTTAGCAGATCTAACCAACACCTGGTCTATCTATGCAAAGCGAGTCCCTCCTTCTCCACAAGACTAGATTAAAATTTTGAATCTTTAATGCTGAAAATTCTAGTTTAACTTGAAGAGCCTTGTTTCCTTTTTAGAGACCTCAGTAAATTGGAAATTAAATCTCTGGAGAAGCTACTCTGTGCTACAGAATTTTACCTTTCATTATGCACCTTTCCTAATGAATACTTAAAGGTTTTATTTTCTGTCTTTGTAGGAATTAATTTTCCCTCAGCATGAGAATGAATGCCTGAATAGACTGTGCTGATGTGGAAATTAAACCTCCATGTAGAGTTGATTTGTTCTTGACATAAATTTTTCTATCCGCACAGTCTGGTCACAAAAGGATGAGGGGTTAGCAGGCTCTAACTTCTGTTTAGTGTGAAGTTAATCTAGACAGATTCTACAAGGACCTCCACATATCTTGACGGCTGTAACAAAGTATTGAATAATGTTTCTAAAAAAAAGTATGTGTCCAGAACTTTGTGGACCCCAAGACTAGTACAAGAACTGTCCAGGACACAGATCATCACTGGTAGTAACCATTTTGTACAATACCTGATTACCATCTTGGACCCAGCTGGGTTAAATATTCCTGAAATCTTACACCCTTATCTTTCCCTTGATTTTAACTGGAAGACAACAATGGCTGATCATTGCAGTGGCACGATGGTTTAGATGGATGAACACCTCTGGTTTAGATTTATGAGAAGAGAGCTGGTGAAACATCTGCTCAATACATGGTGTTCATGAGGCTAAGTAAACCTTTCAAGTAACTCTGCAAGTGTGATTGGAAAAAACTTTCGGTCCCAGTTAAGACCCATATGCCCCAAAGATTGTTCATTTTTTCTTACACAATCGCTTACTCTAACAAAACGTTTCACCTTGCTTCATAAGACTTATACAGCTTCTATCATCTGACCGTCACAATTACGATGAGGTAACAGGTGCTTAGTTTGTAGGACTACACAGGCACTTTCATATACTATAAATACAACTTTGAGATGTTAAGAAAGAGATGCAAAAGCTCAAAACCATGCTTTAGATGCTAAAGTGTATTCCTGAATTATATTTTAATCTCAGAAACATACACCTTTCAGTACTTTTGCAGAGCAAAATGCGGTCTGTAGTGCTGATGATTATTGTGTTTAAATAAACACTCTCTCTCAAGGAGTATTTTCCTTTTGGCTGATCCTTCTGCTGAAACCCTACTGGTTCACGACAGCTTGTTGCCATGGTTGGGTAATGATGTCACACATTCTGTCCTGTGTCCATGCCAGAAAATAAATTATTTTTTAATGACTTGGAGTTACTTAGCAATTCCCTGGAAGGCCTGAAGTGAATTACGAGTAAGAAAACAAGATGCCCTATTGACCCTACCTGCATTCTATCTTTATGCCAGTGAAATGACGCAGTAAAACTCCATAGTAAATGCTCTGCAGATTTAAAAACAAGGTTGTGTTACTGCAATTTACCTCGTTATCCAACAGATTTCAGCGGGCTGAAGATCAGCAGGAAGCTAGGCGAAGTGTGGCTTAGGGGCTCACACATGAATACGGGAGCCCTTGGAAACTACATCACTGCTTGTCCTTCCGAAGTTTTTGGAAGAGGGTACACTGCTTGCATCCTTCCCTCCATCAGTGACACTTTGGCAGGAAAATGGTCCCGAGCAGCGTACAGACATCACTGCATCAGGCAGCAATTGCCACGCTATTGCCTTCTCTCACACCACTTCTCAAATTAGATCTGTCCTTCAGAGGTCGGCATCTGGAAGGCAAAGAACAAGAGGAAATCTCTTGTAAATACAGACAGCAGCAGAAAGAAAGGTTGTGAGAACACCAGCTCTCACTGCTCCCCAGGCCGCGGCTCCTGCTCCCTGCTCTCCTCAGGGACAGCGCTGTTTGGGGTAAGGAGCCTTTTGTCCTGAGGCGAGACCACACCAGTTTCAAAGCTGCCTAAAGCTATCAGGATACCTCCCCCCCGCTCTCCCTTTCCAGGAGGGCACCCTTACCCCCAAGGGCTGCCCTACCCCTACCTCAACGCTCCCTCCCCTCACCCACGGACCTTCGGGGCCGGGCCGGGGCTGACAGGCGGGGCGGGAAAGCGGGGCCGGGCCGGGAGCGGGGCCCGTTGGCGCCGCGGGGAGCCGGGGCTGAGGCGTGGCGGCGGGACGCGGGGTCCCCGCTCCGCCG